GCATGCCTGTAATCCCAGAGCTGGGGAGGCTGAGATAGGAGGATCGCTACAAATCGGAGCTGCATAGTGAGACCCTGTACCAAATAAATGAATAAATGATAAAAAAAGTAAAAAAAAATAAATAAATTGCCCATTTAGGCTGAACTCACTGGATAAAAGCCAATGAGCTCTATGTTAGGGCAAATATCTGGGTCTGGAAAGGGCCTTAGTAATGGTCATTATAAACCAAAGCATAACTGCTAGCAACAGCAAGACATACACTAGATACTATAAGCCATGATTGTTTTTGAAGCTCAGTACCCGAAGCAAGAATTGCAGAAATGTGAGAGGAAGATTTTGTGCAATGCTAAGAAGTTCCATGCTGCAACATTTACCTCAAATGCAATTTTTAATGAATTTTCTCTCGAAACCTCTTAAACAATCCCAACAAATAGTGGGGTAGCCTATCTTCTCATATACGGGAATTATGTTTTTCCACTTTCTTGTTTCTTGCACTGGTGTCAGTTTACAAAATTTAATTTCATTTTGTAGCTTTGAAATAAGATGAATAACCTTGAAATCAGCAAGCAAAGTACAGCAGTCCTTGTTCATTATGGAATAGTTAATTCCTCTTAAATTATCTATTAATTTTGTAATAAGAAAATTAGTAATTGAGTGAGTAATTGTTGGGGTTACTAAACCCCATCATAAACCATCTCGTCTGAGCAGACTTCTTATAATGTCAATGAGATTCTTTATCACAATTGGTCACAAATCAGACTCCAGTTATATTCATAAATATCTAGTTACAGTGTGTGTGTGTGTGTGTGTGTGTGTGTGTGTGTGTGTGTGTGTTTAGCAGGAAAAGTGTTTGCTTGCTTTCCAATTTCTGTTCTCACCTAACAACTGATTACACAGAAAGTCACACTAGTTCTGCACTTGGTTTTCATACATTATCTTACACTAATTAAAATAATTTTAGACTTGTTGCTAAACTCAACTTGAAATACATTTGTTACTTGCAACTCAAATGCTAAAGTGTTTGATTGCACTATGCATTCACACACAGTATCTCTACATGTCCTTCACTAGTAATATGTGGTAAGTAAAAAAATCAAGCAATATGATGACATGGTTGTGGCAAAGAAAGTAGCAGGAACAGTTGTGGAGTATGTCTTCACATCTCTGCATAGCATAGACCAACAGTGCCGGGCAAATGGCTTAATCAAAACCTTATCCACCCACAAAGAGAACGAGAATTCCAGACAAATCCAGCCACCTCTGATTGTTTTTCTCTCTCTAAGGGAGGTGGTTGAATCAAAAGAAATCTTGTTTCAAAGAAAGAGTTTGGGAATACAGTGATTAGGGAAGGCGAAGGTATGGTTGGAAGAAAAATAGTGACTTGTAGAAACAGCTGTGAATGTCGCATGATGAATTTATTGTTCCAGGAAAATCTCAACAGTAGTAATCTAATATTTAATTAGGATGGCATATGTTTCACTCCTCCACACACCGTACCTCACCACTAAACCAGTAGATTTCCTAAATAGTGATTTTATCAAAACTAAAAGAGTCAAAAAATTCTTCTTTGAAAAGTGGTAACTAGGGAAACAGAGTCTAGGAGGAAATGAAGAACAAGGACTAAGGGATGGTTCAAGATTCTCATAGAGATAATAGTAACATTATGCATAGGGAGCTCTTTAGTCGTCTCATGAAAGCACTGGAAGAATAAATGAACTTCATTTTCAACAAAAATATTACAAATTAAACTGGAAAGTGAGGCAAAATAAAAACATGGAAAATGTACTATCCAAAAACCATATATGAAGAGTTCAATGTATTTATCATCAAATTTTCAGATTATTCCAATTACATAAAGGTGCTGGGGTGTATCCATGTAGCATGTATCAGAACTTCATTGTTTTAGGAAAAACTAAAATTCATGTTATTGCAGGGAAGTCACCACTTAATTATTCTTTCATCAACATAGACACATGAGTTACTTTCATATTTTATTATTGTCAATAATGCTACATGCTGGGGTTCGGGAGATTGCTGGGTAGGATAAGCACTTCCCTGGCAAATGCAAGGGACTGAGTTCAATCCCCAGTTCCACCAAAAAAATAAAACAATAATAATAATAATAATAATAATAATAATAATAATGCTACATGCTACCATCTGTTTTAATATTTATTTAATTATTTTGAGTATATCCCTAGGGTGAAATTTTTTTAATATTTTATTTTTTAAAGGAGGATTTAAAAATCCCAAAAACATTAGTAATGATACAGAATTTCCAAAAGCAAAATGGAAATTCAGCAATGGTTGTTATACTGCATATTGTTGTCTTCATAGTAGTTGTTCAGATTACCAGGTACAGACATGCAAAATTGGTCAAAAATTAATCATTAATTGTTCGTTTAAATAAACCAATAAAAATGAGTAATATAATTATCTTAGCTATTGTGTGTGTGTGTGTGTGTGTGTGTGTGTGTATTTTCCTTTTTTTCTCTTTGAGTGAAATTTTTCAACCATTCAAAAAATCCTACATTTGATATTTTGAAAAAAAAAACCCAGAATATTTTCAGTTGAAATTGTCGGCTTTTCTAATATAATTAACAATTTACAAAGTTAAAGTTTATATATATACTCAGAAAATTATTTTCCATTTCATATTTATTGTCATCTAATAAATTTGGATTACTCTTTCACTCTTATTTTAATCTGAATTTCTCTAATGGATAATGACTTTCATTATCTTTTTTTGTTTGTTTGTTTGTTTGTTCTAGGAATCAAACTCAGGACTTTTCCAGTTGTACAGCTGAGCTATAATCCCAGCCTTTCATTATCTTTTTATCTTGGCCATTTGTTCATCTTCTTTGATGAAATGGTTTAGCAAGCCCTCTTTTTTTGTTGTTGTTGAGTTGTATAATTTCCACACGCATTCTATGTAATAAAATATTTTCAGAAATATGTTGACAGGGGGCCGGGGAGATGGCTCAGTGGAATAAGCGCTTCCCTGGCAAGTGCAAGGGCCTGAGTTCAATCCCCAGTTCCTAAAAAAAAAAAAAAAAAAAAAAAAAAAGATGTCAACAAACATTTGTCTGACACTTTGGGGGCATTCGTATGGAAACTTTAGTTTTAATTGACAAATAATAATCATATATAGTATATATGGTTCATGTGATCTTATGATATATGTATACATTGTGAAATGAAAACAGAATAATTACTATGTCTATCGCCTAAATCTTTGTTGAGAGAGCATTAAAAAAATTACTGTGTTAGAAATTTTGAAATATACAATATATTATAACTATATTTAGGGGTTGGGGAGATGGCTCAGTGGAATAAGCACTTCCTTAGCAAGCTCAAGGGCCTGAATTCAATCACTCAATTTTGGTTCCACAAAACAACAACAACAAAAATAAAACAACTATATTTATCATGTTTTATAGTGGATCACTATGGCATATTCTCCTTGCCTAACATGAAGTGGGTAACTTACAAGTAAAATCCTCTCTTGTCCTGTCCCAGGCCCACGGCTCATTTTTTAAACTGTGTGCTCACTGATGTGGTAATCATCTTTAATCCACATTTCTATCCCATTGGCCCTTGTTCTAATAATTACTATATGTATAATTTTATTATGACACTGTTGCACCATTTCTATTACTGTAGGTTTGCAATATATTTTTTAATTGAAAAGTGTCAATTTTCCATTTTTTTCTTTCATGAAATATAGACATAATTCAGACATCTGTATAAATTAACACAGATTGAGGATTGAGTATCCATTTATGAAATTTAAAATCTTTTATAAGAATTTTAATAAAATTACACTGAAGTTGTCTATTATTTTGGGTAATATTGAAATCTTAAAAATGGTAAGTCTTTTTAAGTAAGGGCACAAAATGTTTTTCTATTTTCTTAGTCCTGTTAAATATTCTTCAGGGATGTTTTCTAGTTTTCTGTACACAAATACTTCACTTCTTTAGTTAAATTTATTCCTAAATATTTTAGTATTTTAATTGCATTCTCTCATATACATTTCACCAGAGATAACAATCTTCCCCACCTGAGTAACTCAATCACCCATTCATTTTCATCCAGTAAGTAAGCCACACATCTAATATAAGGAAAGTGTCACATACAGAAGAAAAGATGCAGCTTGGAAAAACACCACAATAGCTGAACTTATGAATAGATTACTTTGGTGGAGATTTTTCAAAGTATCTCCAATATTATTGAATCCTGAACATTTTCATAATCCTATTATCAAAAAATAGTTTTTTCCTAAATGGTGGGACGTAGCATTATTTATGTCTCTACCACTATGAAGTTCTTAAATTGATTTTAGGTCCTTCTTTATTACAATTACACTTCCCTTTATGAGTCTTAAATTTTATGTATCTTTGTTAAAAAGAGACAATGTCTTTATATTTCTATTTCCAGGTACTGTAATATTATGTCGAACAACATTTCTTTAATAACGAAAGCTAAGTAAAGTAAAATGCTGATCATTTTTTTCTCATGATGAGATTTCATATGGAAGACACACGATGACAGATTATCCTCTTTCTTACATTCTTCTCACTGCATAACTCTTTATACCTTTAGTGCTCTTAAACAACACCATGACTATCATCTCTTCCTTTTCTTTCTCCATCAAAGCTTTAATGACCCTGGGTGTCTCGGACACCAGAGCCCCTTGAGCAGAAGATGCGCGCCATCCTCCTCCGGATCTGCTTGGTCTTGATGCTGTACACAACTGGGTTAAGCACTGGAGGTGTGAGAAAATGAAGATAGGAGAGCAAAACCCTGACGCAAGGGGAGGCTCGCTTCCCGAATCGGTGGATCATGGAGAGGCCGATCATAGGTGTGTAAAATAGCAGCACCGCACAAATGTGCGAGACGCAGGTGTTGAGGGCTTTCAGGCGCCCAGCCTTGGACACAATGGCCAGCACTGTGTGCAGGATCAGCACATAGGAGAGCAGGATGAGGGCCGAGTCCAAACCCAGCGTGGAGAGAACCACGAAGAGGCCATAGGCGCTGTTGACCCGGGTGTCAGCACAGGCGAGCTTCATGACATCCGGGTGCAGGCAGTAGGAGTGGGACAGCAGGCGGCTGCGGCAGTAAGGCAGCTTCTTCAGCATGACTGGGGCGGGCACGTGCAGAGTCACGCTGCGCAGCACGATGGCCAGACCCAGGCCGGCGATGCGCCAGCTCGTGAGGATGCTGCCGTAGCGCAGGGGGCTGCTGATGGCCACGAAACGGTCCAAGGCCATGGTCAGCAGCACGGACGACTCCATGATGGAGAACGTGTGGATGAAGAAGAGCTGGGCCAGGCACGCGTCTACGGCCACATCCCTGACCCCCAGCATGTAGAGGGGGAGCATGCTGGGCAGCGTGGAAGCAGACAGGCCCAGGTCCGTGATGGCCAGCATGGACAGAAAGTAGTACATGGGCTGGTGCAGGGAGGGTTCTGACCTCACCACCCACAGCACCAGGCTGTTCCCTGCCAGAGAGGCCACGTACATGGCGCAAAGGGGTATGGAGATCCAGACGTGTGCATCCTCCATTCCTGGGAGGCCCGCAAGGAAGAACGAGGTGCCGGTGTGGTTGGAGTATGCCATGACAGCCCTGAGCGTCACTGCGCCCTACAGAAATGCAAACACAGACCTCATCTCACCTGAGCTGCTGAGTTAGGACAGCTGTAAATCATCACGGTGCAGAATTGCACAGGCTTCAGATCGACTTCTGAAATGTTTTTATATCTTTTTGGTTGTTGTTTGCAAGTATTTATTTGCTTGTTTGTTTGTACTATTGAGGATTTTATCTAGGGCCTTTACATGCAGCTACTCTCTCAGCTCCATTCTGCTTTTTTTTTTTTTTGAAAAATGTTTTTTTTATTTTATTTTTTTTTTTTTTTTTGAAAAATGTTTTCAAGGTTTTCCTATTTTACTGAATTTCATAGATTGGAGTTGATTTTGTGATCTTTTGCTTCAACTTCCAAAATGGCTGGGATTAGAGAAATGTACCATCAAAATGTTGCCTAGGCTTAAATTTAATCAAGTGTTTCTTTCAGCTCATGAATAATGTTTCTTTAAAAACAAGTTTGTATAATGATTAGAAATAATCTTATATAAACAGTAAGCCTGGCTAAAGAGCTACAAGATGAAATTTCACCTAAAATCAGTGTTTTAAATATAGGGATGCACTAAGGCAATAACTTTGCAACCTTTCATGACTGACATTAAAGACTGAACTCTAAATTCTTTGTATATTTAGTACATGTTGGTTATTCAGAATAGAGACACATTTTAGCATGTTCATACAGGGATTTAATATACTTTGATCCTTGCTCTTCTGAGAGCGTCAGTGTGTCTGACCTGGGGCCAGAGTATAAATGTTCTCCATTTTGATCAGCATTTTCACACTGCTCTTCAATGTAGCTTCTTCAGTTTAGTGAATATGCAAATTTTTCAGAGATTTTTTTTCACAAATAAAATAAAGCAAAATGAATCATTTTCCCTTGTCATGCAAGCATACTGTGTGAGCACATAAATATATAAATACATTCATATAAGCAATTTAAAATGCCATTCTACGATAAACCTAATTTAGGGTTTTACCCAAATACAATTTACCCTCTAATTAGCTACGTGTGTACCTGAATAGTTAAACAATATTTTTAACTCACAGGTTACTGAACAGATCCCTTAAAGCTTGTCTGTAATTATTCAACATCGTAGCAGTAAGGATACATAATGTATATACACCCTCCATACGCCAAGGGCTTCTACATCACTCGCAAGCTAATCTCATATGGACTCAGAGCTTTGATCTTCTCTGCGTTCTCTCCTTTAACTTTGGTCACTGCTTTGCCCTTGCTGTCTCAGCTGAATTCAATCCATTATTAGCTCTATATTTTGAGAACACATTAAAAGATAACTCAAGTTTGAAATATTTTCCCTTTTGCTCCTAATCATAAACAAAAGGCAGAGGTTTCTGGCATTTTTTGGAAATGCAGATCTGATACAACAACAACCAATATACCAGTTGAAACTAGAGAGATCTTGTTTATTCATATATTCAGAATTTGGTGGAGGAATTCTTGTGGTTATTGTTTCTTTGTATTTGTTAAGTCGGTGTTTTTCTTAATACAAAATTTATTTTAGTTATTTCCCCTTGTTTGTCTTAGGGGAAATAGTTTAATATTCATCTTCCACTCAAGAGTATATTCACATAGTAAATTAAGTACCTTTTCTTCCTGAGATAAAAAAGTGTAAGTGTAACTTGTTTCATTTTAGTCCACATAAAATACTTTGTTGAGCATTTTTCACATATATTGTTCTAAAACATTTTAAGATGCTTAAAGATCAATTTTTCCATGCTAAGAAACTTAACATGTTATAATTTAAGTGTGTGATGTCATCACTTGTATTGTAAAAGGAGGATGCAGGACTGGAAACAGTGATTGCTAAGCTCATGTTGGGGGCTGTGACTACTGAGGCGTGTAGCTGAAGAAAATCGTGATCTGTTGATGAACAGACTCTAGATATTAACAAAATGTATTTTATGCCATACAAACTAAAACTGCTAGAATCCCTTTTTGTTGTTGTTGTTTTGTTTCCTGCCTTGTAGCCACTTTTGCCTTTCCTCTTTATATCAATGTTAGAGTCGCCAAGGTAGATGGCTTTTGTTCATTAATAAACTTGTCATGTGATCTGTTTTAGATGCATAATTAAAAGGTCCCACAAATAAAAGCACACCACAGTCTATATTATTTGACAGAAGTGGAGAAAATAAATCTGTAGAAAGAGAAATGAATACTGCATTAGATTGAAAGCTACAGAATAATAAGTCTGGAGAAAGGATGCTTGGGTTAGCAAAACACCGGCACAGAGTAAACCCAGTCACTTAGGAACTGTGTTTCACCTGGCAGGACAGAGACCAGGTCCCTACTGTGCTAAATTTTGGCTCTGAAAGTTTTAATTAACCCTGGACTAGGAACACCACTGGATATGGGAACTTCCAACAAATAAAGTTTGTTAGGACCCTTTCAAAGCTTGATAAATCAGGTTTTCTTGGGTTGAATCCCAGACTTTAATATTTCAGCAATCCCTCAAGGAGATTTTAATGCACACTGAAGTCTAATTTTGCTTTGTAAACAGCTCAGTGCAATTCTATTGAAGTCTTATTTATTTAAGATGATTGCCTAGAAGAGACATTTATGAGTGTGTGTGTGCGCACATGCGCCATTTATTTCCATTGTTTTAACTTTTAAATTATATAAGAAACAGAAAAATATATTTCAAAGTACAGAGACATCTGGTTCTATCTTCAACCCCAAAACACAGGGTAAGAAGCAAATGCTTAAAGAGAACTTAGACTTAAGTATGAGTTATTTCTCCAAAAATTATTAAGTCTCTGTGGACTTCTTGTTTGAGGAACTGTTTCTTTTGAATATTAGTAGATTTGTAGCAACTGTAGGTCTATGCCATTGGGAGAAGAGGGCAGAAGAAGACATGCTGAGTCCTATTGAGTCTTATAATGTTTATTTTCTTCTCGAACACAACATGTTTCAATATGTCAAAATTAAGAGCTAATATTTTCCATAAATATTTATGGAATTTTATAATTTTCCATTAGTTAAAAAACAATAATATGGATTTCATATTCACAATGGATTATTTTTTCACATTATGTATTTATCTACACATATAACTCAACACAGTTTTAAGTTGAACTAATCATTATGTAATATAACTCACATCTCTCTATTGCTTGATAAAATAAAGTGATAGAAGGGAGAATTTCTAGTATTTTGTGAAGTTTTTAGAAAGCAAATATTAAAGTTGGTATTTGTCTATCTTTAAGTTTCTCAGGTACTTACCTTAAAAAATGCAAGAAACTTTTGGAAAGATGATTATTCAAAGATCTACAAAGAGTTGCAGTTAATCTTGATCAGCTAGAGTGTATGATGCAGATCATTTTTCTTTTACTTTTTATTTTATAAGAAGGAAAAGAAGAGGAGCTGTGCCAGCTCAGCAGCTCCCTGTGTCATTCTACTCCTTATGCTTTTCCGCTTTGCTCCCTTGAGGGGCACAGATCAGTCTTCCTAGACACTGAGGTGAACACATAGGAGGACAAGCAGAACTCGACCCTGGGTTGCTAGTCTCTCTCCTACTTGCATACTTAATTAAATTGATTTATTTTATGAAGCATTTTTTCAGCGTTCTTCATCAGAGTCATCCATCAGCTCCCAGATGTTACCTGGAAATAAAGAATCCTTTTTCTGCCTCTAATTTTTTTTTTTCCAGAACAGGGGATTGAACTCAGGCCCTTGTGCTTGCCAGGCAAGTGCTTATTCTACTGAGCCATCTCCCTGGGCCTTCTGCCTCTAAATTTTTAAGGTTAAAAAGTTTCAATTCCAAGTACATAGATGTGTTGAGTGAAGGGATTTAGTAATAAGCACTGCTTTTTTTTATCATGGTCAAAACTCAAATATTTTGACAGTATTCTTAAGTGATCACTAGCAAGAACCTTGACTACTGTCTTTTCTGTGCTCCATATTATTGACTTACCCACAGAGAGATCAGAATACAGAACATTTCTCCTCTGCCTCTGGTCTCCAGTGGTAGGGAGTCTCCAATGAAGACCAATTTTACAGCAAGTGCCCTGGTGCAGGAATGTCACTCCCTGATGGACTGCAGGAGCACCTTGGGCTTTGTGGCAGAACTGACTTTAACCACGTCACTGCTGAATACATCCTGTAGGAGCTAAAGAGACACTATTGTTATTAGAAATCACTTGGCTCTAGACAAATCTTTTCAAGTTCCTATTTACCTGGCAATGTGGTTTAAAAAGTAATTGGCAAGGTTGAGAGTTCTAGCTTCAGCTTGATAAAGGTCTGAACTGAAGATAGCATGAACTTATAAAACGCCTTTTCTTGTTTTTGTAACACAATCAGTGTGTAACATATCATTTTAATATTCAAGAATGTTTAGCCTATGAAAGATTATTTTTCATTTGAAACTTCAACTGTTAAATAAACTATATTTTGTGAGAAAATGCACACAATTACATACCGATCAGCCATTAAAAATGAATCCTTTCACTGGAGATGACAATGATGAAATCAGAGATCATTATGATAATGAATAGGCACAGAAACACAAGTGACACATGATCTCACTCATATGGAAGCAAAAGGAAACAGAAGTTGAGGGTGCAAAGGTGATTTCCAGAGGCAGGGCAGAGTAGTGGGGAGGGTGGACTGGAAAAATAGTGATGCACAGGAACAGACTTAGATGAGTATACATAATAGTAATGTATGTGTGAGTTAAAGGAAAATGAAGAAAGGATTGTGAAAGGTTTTACCATATGAAAATGATAAAAAAATTTTT